AGAAAGAAAGAAAGAAAGAAAGAAAGAAAGAAAGAAAGAAAGAAAGAAAGAAAGAAAGAAAGAAAGAAAGAAAAAGGGAAAAAGAAATCAATATGCTGTTCTAGTATGGAAAATAGTGTCAGTCAGAGGAGAGAGTTAGATAAAAGATACAAATGCCTTCTTAGCTGAAGTTCTAGGCCAGATTCTTATTGTATGTGGACAATAGAGACCCCCGAGAGCATGACAGATTTTAGAGGATGGTATTGGAGAAAGAGATGTCTGGTATTTGACGGAAATCTAGCCAGCCAGAGTCTGGCAAGCATGGCTCTGGATGGCCTTGTCCTTGAATCCCATTCCCTCTGCCTTGATAAAAACTGCTAGATTACATTCCTAAAGCTAGCCACCAAGGTCTACTTTCTTATTTGGCTACTTCCTGAGTCTGATTGCCAAGGTCCAACTATCAAAGTTTTGAACTCCAGCAATCAAATGCCCCCTTTGGTTCACCTAATTAACACATCCCAATCAAAATATACCACAGCATCCTAGCCCATTCTAAACAAACACACCCCACTGTTTTTTTATTATTATTATTAAAAGTTAAACCTGAAAAGTCATTTGCTGCTGTTTTGTTCTGCCTGAGTGAAAAGCCAGCCACTTTTACTCCCCATCCCCCACCCACCCCCACTTAATAAAGGATCTCCCTGAGAAAACAGGTGTTTGGGTGTGGTTTGTGCCTAATGTGGGGTCTCCTTCAGTACTGCCTCCTAATCAAAATTCCACCCTCACATAAGAGGGATAAATATAGGGTATCAAGCTTGACAACAGCTTTATCCGTTAATTTTCTTGTAAAATGAGGTCCTAGTAGGAATCTCTCAGTACTATTAAATTCTGATACCTCCCACAGCCAAGAGGTGTAGCAGGTTATACTTTTTCTGCCTAACTACCCTTATATCGTTTCTGCCAGTTTGCTATGCTCAACACCCAGTGCTAATGTGTACCTTGAATGATGATTAGCACCCATGACCTTCAGTGGCTTGTTCTTGGATTAATGGATTTACTTACCTAGAAAGGAAGGCCCTGGAAGTTTCTATTACCCTGGGGAGGCTCACAACTAGTGGGCTGCACTAGGAAAGCCCTGTCTCCATGCCTCATGCTGAAATCAATTCCAAGGGTAGTTTGTACTCTGGAGCTCTATTTTGAGATTCGGATAAAACAGAGACTTTCTCAAATTGCAGCTTAATATTTTTTTTTACTTCTTTTCTTTTTCTGTCCTGTTTCCTCATCACCTTTGTTCTTCCCTTGGAGTAGTTTTCTGATAAATCACCCACATAGGAATCCTCATGTCAGTATTTCAGGAGAGTTTGACACAGAAGCATTCTAGGTCCATTTGAGTTGAAGGGGAGATAAATTCTGTGAATTGTATCACTCAAATGAAAATTTCATAAACTTACCATCACCAACAAGGTAGGTCATTACATGTTTCTTAGATCACAGTCTTGAGTTGGAGAACTGAAAGAACAACACAGCTCTGCCATTTATGTATCACATCCACAGTCAGCAGGACTCCAACTGGTATTAGAGAAACCTGTTTGGCCAAGGGTCGGCAGACAAGCCAGCTTGCTTAGGTTTTAAACGATTTGGATCTTGGATCCTCAAAACTATGTCTCCGTGTTATGCTCAAAAGCCACGGGGAACCACGATTCAGCCGAGTGACTCTTTAGTGAAAGGTCTCGGAATTTTTGTTACAAAATGGATTGATGCTATACCCCCATGTATTGAGTTCTACTGGTTTTCTCATTCATTGTGTAATTTGGCTTGGTAGCCCATTTTAAAGGCAAGAAAACTGAGGCTAAAAGAGGATATAGTACTAACATGATTCTGACAACAAAGCATTGAACCACCCAACACTGACTCTGACTCTGATTCTATTCTCTCTACAGAAGGGAGTACCACTTCATATTTTAACCTGAGCATTGAAAGGAGACTGCAGGCTTCGTTTTAAATTTTAAAATGAATGTTTTTAGCAACAGAGAAGTTAACTTTGAAAGCAGTTGCAAAATAATTGTTTTTTTACTTTCATTTACAGTAAGGTTCCAAGTTTGGAGCAGAAGTTTTTTTTTTTTTTTTCTTCCATGGGGTTCAGAGTTTTACCATATGCCTATTTGACAAAAAGACACATGAAAGTGTTCTAATTGTGAAACAGCTCAAGACAAATGGCACTTAGCAAACAGAATGCTCACCATAAAATCATAAAGCCTAAAAAACCTTATGAGACCATTAAGTTCTGTCTTTCCCTTTCAGTGAAGACCAGCTAAACGTATAATCTTCTGTATGTTTAATTTCAATAAGATTTATAAATATACGTTATTTAATTTTTATTTCGAAAATAATTTTAATTCTGCTTCACGTTACATTTCACCTAATGGTGGAGTGCCTAGCATCATAGGACTCCAATACCTAGTTAGACAAATGACTTTTGCAGCATTCCAAAGAACTTTCTAGGTACAGGGAGTGCAAGAAGTGAATAATATATACTGCATAGAAAACAATATGTTCTCTTATAACTTGTAACTTATAACAGAAGTTCTTACTGGAATTATTATTGAAGTGGAAACAAGGTAAATGTGCTGATGTCTGCCTGCAACTGCATCAGTTGGAAAATTCAGGGTCATCCTTCGATAATTAGGGAGTTGGACGCCAGTTTCAACTGCATGAGAGGGTCTCCCAAAACAAAACAAACAGATAAAAAGAAACAAATTATACCCAAACTCAATACTTTCTGTGTTACCATTTTCACATTTATCTATAAAGAATGCGGTGATGATAGAATACATATTCCAAACAAGGAGCTGTGGTAGGGTGATAGGGGTGTTATCAATAATTATATCAGAGCAATAAGACTGTTCTGAGAAAAGGCTACTCACTGAGGCAACGAGTGACTATAAGCAGAGTAAAAGTACTATATCCAGTTTTAAATTAATAAACAAGGGAGTTTTAAGTCACAAATGATTAAAAGGTTTTCAGTATGAAAAACTTTGGTGTTCTTACCTCACCATAGAATTATGGTTAAAAAAAAAAAAAACAAAAAAAACAAAAACGGGACACAGAACAAATAAAAACTCCATTCTAATAACTACAAGATGTAAGAAAATTAAACTCTTATCTGAAAAGGTTGTGAGACTGCGCACCATACAGTCCAACCCACTGCGCTCTTAGAAACTCCCAGGTCCACCCCCTTGATTTATAACTAACCTTTATTCCTGCCTCTCTACTCAGAACTTCGGGACGATCTGCAATATCCTCTTTCTGGAAACAGTTGTCTTCATAAGCTCCATCTTGTTCACCAAACATGAGTGCCCAGAGCCGGAGCCGGAGCCGGAGCCGGAGCCAGAGCCATCAAAATTACCCCACTGAGGTGGGGGCCATTATCGGCCGCCTGATCAGCATGCATCTGGAGGCTTCAGATACCTATCTCTCTCTGGGATTTTTCTTCAAAGGTAACACGTCTGTGGAAGGCCTGGTTCACTTCTTCCGAAATCTGTCTGAAGAGAAGCGCCAGGGTGCCTATCTTCTGATGCAAAGTCAGCAGAGCAGCTGTGACCTCTACTTTACTGGGCAGACACTGCCCTCATATCAGTGTGATGGGAGCCTGGATGCCATGGAAACTTCCTTGGCCTTGGAGAAGAACCTGAATCAAGTCCTTCTGGATCTGCACGCCCTGGGGTTTGCTAACTCAGACCTCCAACTCTGCCACTTCTTGGAGACACACTTCTTAGAGAAGGAGGCGAAGCTCATCGAGAAGATTACCGACAACCTGAGGAACCTCCGCCAGCAGGCGACTGAGGTTGACAGCCTGAGTGAGTATCTCCTCAAAAAGCTCACGTTCAATGGTGACTAGACACTTCCTGGAGTCTATGGCCCATGCCTTTGCAGAGCTGCCTCTGTTTTGCTGATAGCAGCTTCTTGCCCAGCTCAGCATCACCCGCTAAAGCCAAATGCCAAATGGAAACAAAAACGTTTCTTTGTGTAGACAAAAACAGCTATATTGGGGGTGGCATGAAGGACTGATTGTCTGACAGTCTCTAGCAGTGTTAAGTAAACCATTCTTTTCTGAGTCATCTGTATACTAAAGAACCGAACCTGTGTTTTGCCTGACCAAAAAGCCATAAAATTGTATGCAATATTAATGGTGTTGTGATTTGAACCAATTCTGGCTGCTGGACTGCGCTCCAGATGTATTCTAAAATGTATGATTAATTTTTGCCTAGCAGCAAAGAGATCTGGACTATATCATATTAAACCTTGCCAAGTTCCCACCAATCACCACATAATCGCTGTTCCTTATGTCCAAGTTGATGTGATGCCATCCGCTTATTCTGGGGAACCCAAGAAGAAGCAGCCCCGTGAAAGCCATCAGGACATTGTCCATTCTGTTGTTGCTGAGAACACGAATATCATACCATGTACTGATCTTGCCATGAAGCTTCTCACGGAAACTTTGGAATGGACATATTACTAATTGCCTGCTGAACTGCTTAGGGCTAACTTTGCAATCAGAGTAGAGTAAATAAATAAGACTGTGTAAACATTACCGTATGTTACATCTTTTACTAATGTGTATGTGTTATGGGTTCTTTTATGATGCCACCTTAGGGTCAATCTTTCTAGACTACAACAGAGAATATATAGGTAAATAAAAATTATCACTAAAGATTAAGTTTCTGTTGTCTAATTAAAAAAAAAAAAGAGGAGTAAACTTCAAACAGCCCTAAGAGAGCCAAAGTGGCTCAAGTAAGTCAGATAGAATCTGAATTTCAGAAGCCAAAACAAGGAAAACAGGGTGGGGAGGGGAAGAGGGTGTAGAGAATGTGTTTTGTTTTTCTAGCCACTTTTTTTTGCCCTAAATTTATTCCTTTTCACCCTGCAGATAACAGTATCATACGTGTCTGTTGTTTCCCTTGAACCTTGGAAAGCTGAAGTTGTAAATTTTTCTCAAGCCTTGGACTTGGGTGGGAGTTGCAGATGGCCAGTGGGAATTCAAGATAGCTTTGGGGATGGGAGGAAACAGGATGGGAGCCTACCTCTTAAAGGCTCCACCCAACAGAGGATCTAAGCAGATGCTGAGACTCACAGCCAAACTTTGGGCAGAGTGCAGGGAGTCTTATGGAAAAATGGGGGATAGAAGGACACTGAGAGGAAGGAGCCCCACAAGGAGACCAACAAAACTAAAAAATCTGAGCCCAAGAGGTCCTGTAAAAGGGATCCAGGCAGCCCTCATGAGACTTGATAATCTATGGGCAGATGGCAGAGGAGGAGAGCTCCTCCTTTTAGCGGAATAGGGGAAGCAGATGGGGGGAAGAAGGAGGGAGGGTTGGAGAGGGAGTAGTTGAGGGAGGGGGCTTCAAATGGGATATATAATAAAAAAATTGTGAAAAAAATTTAAAAAAAACTTGACTTGGGGATAGTGTTAGGGTTGCCTGTTGACACACCCCAAGTTAAACTAAACCAGCTAGTACAGAAAGAAAAGCTGGGAGAGAGAGCAGAGATTAGTGTTTTTTTTTTTTTTTTTTTTTTTTTTTTTTTTTTTTTTTTGCCTAACGATATTTTTCATGGCAGGAAGACCAAACACATGCAATCATTTCTTTTAGTTTGGAAGAGTTAGAGGCATAGAAAACATATTTTTTACCTTTTTTATTTAAATTTTTATTAATTACATTTTATTCACTTTGTATCCCCCCATAAACCCCTCCCTCCTCCCCTCCCAATCCCACCTTAGCTCTCCCTTCTACACACATGCCTCTCTCCAAGTGATAGGGGAGGTCTTCTGATCCTAGTCTTCCTCTGGGGCCTGGTAAGGCTGCTCTCCCCTCAGGGGGAGGTAATTAAAGAGCAGGCCAATCAGTTCATGTCAGAGACAGTCCCTGTTCCTATTACTATGGAACCCACTTGGATACTGAACTGCCATGGGCTACATCTGTGCAGGGATCTTAGGTTGTCTCCATGCATGGTCCTTGGTTGGAGTATGAGTCTCTGGGAAGACCCCTGTGCTCAGATTTTCTGGTTCTGCTGCTCTCCTTGTGGAGTTCCTATCCTCTCCAGATCTTACTATTTCCCACTTCTTTCATAAGATTTCCTGCATTCTGCCCAACAGTATATACTCACTCATATAGACATATAATATAGGATAAACCTAAAGAAACTAATCAGGGGGGAGGACTCTGGCTATAATGCTCTCTCTCCACCCTGAAAGGCAAAGAGGATGGACATCAGTAGAAAACATATTTTACAGAGTTTAAGACAACTGTTTTTGTTAAAAAAAAAAAAAACTGATCTTCATGTTTTGTTTAAAGTATCTTTGTCGATGTATTTATTTTTATTGATACATAGGAATGTTTGTCTGTATGTATGTGTACCAGGTACATTCCTGATGCCTGCGGAAACTAGAGCAGTGGGTTGGATGCACTTCCAAATGATTGTGCACTGCTGTATTGGAAACCAAACTGTGGTCTTCTGCAAAAGTAGCAAGTGACCTTAAATGCTGAGCCATTTCTTCAGTACTCCCACAAAGCTTTTGATGGTAAAAGGACTATAATAAAAACATTATTCCGAGACAAAATAATTTTTCCATTTGCTTATAGTAAGGAGTAACAGGTATATGGAAGACGATAACATTTGTCTTGGATTGGATTAAACACTAAAATCTCTGTACTTGATATATAGGAAGAAAAAATTTCAAATTAGAACTTTTGAGTGCTAATAAAGAAAAAAGTTGTAGTTTCAGTTTGTTTCCTGTTAGTAACAATGTTTTTGTGAGGCCATTAAAACTTCCCAGATAGGCCAAAATATTCTATGGTCATCAAAGAATGCTAGAAAAAGTGCAATTTTCTGAGCAAAGAATAAATGATTCAAAGACATGATAAAATGTTACTTTGGCTCTTAAAAGTGGCTAAGGTCCTTTGCAAATTTATCTGTGGAAAATGAGGGTTTTGTGAAATAACATTTCTAGAGATTTATTTAGAAACAAGTCCCGCAGTAATTTTCTCTGTGGGTAAGCACTTTGTGCATGCATTTGTACAGAGACTTATAATAAATGGTTTTTATAGTCTCAGACCAGATTCATTATACCAGTCTTGAAGCCTTTCCTTGATATACCATATATAATTAGTTTTTTTAAGTCAAGCTCTCTATCATCTTCCTGTCATTGAAATTTGGGATACACCAATTGACAATTACTTGTTTTTTATTTTGCAAAATATTTAAATCTATTTTTTTATTTTTTTCATAATTTATTTATTATATGTCCACAATTGAAGCCCTCTCACTCAACTCCTCCCAGTCCCACACTCCCACCCTCTTCCCCCCATCTGTTCCACTAGTCCACTGAAAGGGGGAGTTCTCCTTTGTCATCTGCCCATAGCTTGTCAAGTCTCATCAGGCCTGCATGGATCCTCTTCCTCAGTGGCCTTGTAAGGCCCCATTTCCAAGGGCAAGTGATCAAAAAAGCAGGCAACTGAATTCATGACAGAGGCAGCCCCAGCTCCCCTTAGTCAGGAATCCATATGGAGACTGTGTTGCCAATAGGCAACATCTGAGCAGGGGGTCTAGGGTTGGTGCATCAGTCTCTGCATGAGCCCCTGGGCTCAGATATTTTAGCTTTGTTGGCCTCCAAATTCTCAACAGAGGAATATCGAATGGCAGAAAAACACTTAAAGAAATGCTCAACATCCTTAGTCATCAGAGGAATGAAAACCAAAACAACTCTGAGAATCCATCTTACACAGATCAGAAAGGCTAAGATAAAAAAAAAAAAAAACTCAAGTGACAACACATGCTGGTGGAAGTGTAAACTTGTGCAACCACTTTGGAAATCAATCTGGTGCTTTCTCAGAAAACTGGGAACAGCACTACCTCAAGATCCAGCTATACCACTCCTGGGCATATACCTAAAAGATGCCCCACCATTCAATAAGAACTCAACTATGTTCATAGCAACTTTATTTGTAATAGTCAGAATCTGGAAACAACCTAGATGTCCCCCAATGGAGAAATGGGTACAGAAATTGTGGGACATTTACATAATGGAATACTACTCAGCTATTAAAACGAAGGAAATCATGAAATTTGCAGGCAAATGGATGAAACTAGAAGAGATCATCCTGAGTGAGGTATCTCAAAAACAGAAATACACACATGGTATATAGTCACTAATAAGTGGATATTGGCCATATAATAGAGGATAAACATACTAAAATCAATAGTCCTAAAGAAACTAAACAACAAGGAGGACCCCTAGGGAGGATGCTTAAATCTCATCCAGAATGGCAAACAAGATAGGCACCAGAAGTGGTGGAAGAGAGGAAATAGAATAAGACCATAGTAGAAGGTCCTCTTAAAGGCTCTACCCAACAGGGGATTGAAGCAGATGCTAAGACTCACAGCTAAACATTGGGCAGAGTGCAGGGAATCTCATGAAAGAAGAGGAGGGTGGAGATAGAAGGACATGTAGAAGACAGGAGCTCCACAATTGACAATTCTTTTCTTCTCAGTTTTTGATGAGTTAAAATAGATGAGAAACCAGAGGAAAGTCAAGATAGCTTTGTTAATGCCAAAGTTGAATTGGGGATTGTGTTGGGGCTTCTGGTTGCCACATCCCCAAGTTAAACTAAACCATCTAGTACAGAAAGAAAAGCTAAGATAGAGAGCAGAGACCATGCAAGGCTAGACAGAGGCCAATTCAACCTTTTCTGCTAATTTCACTGAGACCCAGGAAAATGGTGGTAGAGCAAAAGTGCAGGAAGAGTGTGGTTGACCCAATGCTAATACATTGCAGTTCCCCTGTCCTCTAGCCAATATGCCCCAACATACAGCATACTGTCAATTTATCCATATTCATCTTTC